CTTCCCCTGCACTGTGCCAACAGGTCAATAGCGATGTGAAGACACAGTGGGAGTGGGAAATGGGAGGAAAAAAGTGTTTTCCTTGAATTCCCCCAACCCAACTTAATTAGGAAAAAACAACCCCCTTTCTCTGATTTTTCAAGCCTCCCGCTTTCTAATGCGGGGGGAGTGCATTTGGGTCCTGTCTTTACAACAAATGAACCATCAAACCAAATTCTGTCTTCCCCATCTGAAGAATGACACATGTTTGCATTTGCGAATGAGGCGGATTGCGCTTGGAGGAGCTCCGGAGGCCTGGCCCTGCTCCCCAGAGGGCAGACAGAGCCGTCCCCAAAAGTTGTGGCAGGACACGCCTCTGCAGCCCTCCTTGCCCCTCCAGAGCTTACAGTCCTGGCATGGTGCTTTCACTGTTGCCAGAGAACCTCGGGTTTTGGGCTTACCAGAAGCCTTTGCCAGGAACACTTGAGGGGCTGATTCCCACGGTGAGCCCCCTGGGTAGAACAGAACCGGTTATTGGTGCACATTAATGCCTGCCTCCAGTAGGGCTCTCGAAAAACTCCAAGATGTGCTATATTTAAAAAGGCACACAGAAAAGCAAAAGTGGACTCGGGCTGTTGCATTTGTGCCTGGGCTGAAAGAGGATGAGGCTGCTTGGGGGCAGTGTGCCCAAGAGCGGGATTCAGGCAAGAAGCGGGTGGCTGTTGCACCCCAGCTTAGGATTTCTGGAGCAGGGTTGGAACCAAAGCCCCTTGCCCAGGGCGTCCTTTTATTTATGAGATTTGCATCCTGCTTTTTTCTTACAACAAACTCAAAGAGGTTTGCATCATTCTCCTCCTCCTGCTCTCCATCTTGTCCTCACAACAACAACCCTGTGAGTAATTCTTTTACAACAGTCCTGTAAGGTAGGCCTGACATAGTAGTCATTGAAGGACATGGATAGGGTGGGAACCTTCCCGTTCCCAAGGTGCCCGCATTCCTATGTGCAGTGAGAGCCGTCCTGCCTTGCACCCTTCACTGCTCTGGTCTGGGAGGGTCTCCCTGTTTCTGTCCCATCTGAGCTGCTGGCCGGTCTCATGCTGTCAGGGCTGCTGCGATTAATGGGGTGGCCACATTGATTAGCAGAGTCTGTTGATGCCTTTTAAAAAGCAGAAAGCAGGGCGCAGGGGGTGTACTGCCATGGGGGGGGGTCCCCTTCCCCTTTCCAGGTAAGGAAGGAGATTGGGCACAGTGGGTATCCAGTGCAGTCCTTGCCTCCCTGGGGACCGTGCGCTTGCCGCCCTGTGCAAGAGTCTTGTGCCAACGGGCGCCCGTCACCAGCTGGCTTGTTCTGCAGGGTCCGGTGACCTGACTCCCTTTCCCCACACTGTCTGGGCCGGTTCTTCTCTCCTCCCAAGCCACAGTGGGAGGCTGACCCCCCTACATCCCCTGCCCCCATGGAGGCCCCTGTGCCCCTCGTCGGGCACCATTCAGAAAAACACCAAACATAATCAGCATCGCAAGCGTCAGACGTTCTCTGGGCTCGCATTTCGGTTTTGGCAAACCTTGCCTCCCTTGCATGATCTTGGGCCAGTTGCATTCTGGTGTGGTCCAGACAGTACAGTAATCCACACTCGGGGGTTGCATGTGTGTCGAGTGTGGGTTGTCTCATGTTTTCTTGGGTTGCCTGAACCCAGCTGCCCTGAATAACCATGGTTGAACCATGGTTCAGACGATCTCTGAAGTGAGCTCATGGTTTGTTGTGGGACTGTAAACTGTTGATTGTTAGTGTTCATACAAACTCTGGTTTCAGACAAAATAACTCACACCCAGGGTTGAATTTGGGCTGCCACTGAACCATGGTTTGTTGAACTGTGGGTTATTCAGCTGTTTGAATCCAGCCGCACTGACAAATTGTGGTGTATTGAGTCAAAAACAATCCATGAAGAAAACGTGTAGTTTGTTGTGTTGTGAATTCCATGTTCATAGAATCATAGAAAGTAAAGTTGGAAGAGGCCAGAGGGCCATTGGGTCCCACCCCGATGTTGTTCATGTGTAACAAACCATGGCTTGTTGGCATGGTTGGGTTCAGTCAACACACAATAACCTGCATTTCAACAATATCCCACTGTTTAAGGGCAACCTCTGTTCAGCTATTCAGTGGGGGTGTCATGTTTTCTGAACCTAGCTCTTCCCTTCCCACCCTGCTTTTGACTGGCCTACCTCACAGGGCTGTGTGTGGATAATAGACAGGAATGTACAGAAGCCCTGGTTGAACTTGTCAGAGAAGAAGGTGGGATTTAAACAAAAAAACAAACAAACCAAAATTCTCAATTCTGGTGTCATGAATTTTATTTACTGGGTTTTGAAACCACCCCCAAGCCAAAAGCTTGCCAGGCAGTACATAGTGCATTAAAATTGAATCATGGAAGCAGACAAGAAATAAGATTAAAACTTGTGGCAAAAGTTTAAATCCAGAGGCAGGAAAGCAGACTAAAAGCAGTTCTTAAAATGCCTGGAAGAATAAGGAGGCCTTCACCTGGAGGCCAGATGCTCTGTGCTAGGTGAGCCTCTGCAGGAGAGCATTCCACCAGCAGGGAGCCCCCACTGACGAGGCCCTGTCTTTCCACCCGTCTCGTCCTGCCTGGTAGGGAGCCCCGTAGGAGGGCTGCAGATTGCAACCTCGTTTAGGGTGGGCCAGGTTGGATGACTTGGGTCCACTGGGGTGGCGTGTTCCATCTGTCTGGAGTCTGCTCAGTCTGCAGTACCCGCTTCAGAAGGAGGCAGTGTTGTGGCCATCCTCACTGCGGGTCCTGCAAAGGCAGCAGGACCTTTCCAGGGACCCTGGAGGGCCAGCCAGGGCCCGGCCAGAGGGGCCGCTTGCGCCCCAGAGCCAGCTCCGTCTCCTGCAGCGGGTCTGCAGCAAGCCACCGGAAGCAGAGCAACACACAACAGTGGCTCACCTTACCTGGATCTTATGGAATTATCTGGAAAAACAGGTGTCTCCAGAGTTTTGATTGATTGAGTATTCCATTTTCATGCCACCCAAGAGCCAGGGCTCTCTGGGTGGCTAACAAAAGTCAACACAAGCAAGCAAGCAAGAGAGAGAGAAATAAAAAAAAGGAATTAACATAAGATAATCGCAACTGAGTCAGCACCGCAATGTAGCGGCAGTACAGGCTAAAAGGAAATATTAAACTAAAGTTAAAAAGTTATGTTAAGATACTGGGGAAATCGAAAAGGCTTTTACCTGGTCCCCCCCAAAAATAGAGAGGTGTCCCTGGTATCAGACACACCTCTCTGGGGAACTCATTTCATTGCTGGGCTGTCACATACAAAAAGGCCCTTCTGGCAGCCACCCTCCTTAATTCCTTTGGGGACTCCCAGAGAAGTACCCCTGAAGATGACCTTCGGGTCCAGGTAGGTGCATATAGGGCAAGGCGTTCCTTCAGAGAACCTGGTCTAAGCCAGTGCTGCACTGCTTTTGTGTGGATGCCTCCTTTTTCTGTGACAGAACTTTAATTTAGAGTGGGGTCTCTTAGGAGTGAGGATGACTTTCTTGAGGATTGGCAGCACGAGATGTTTTAATCAGCTACCTAAATTACAGTCAGGGCTATGTGAAAGCTGTTCTTGCACTTGCAAGCACAAGCTGCAATATTAGGCATAGAATTGAACTCCCTGTTTTGAAGTCAGTCTGTTTGTTTGTTTAACCCCACCTCAGAATTAAGGTCCTAGTCCTTAAGGCTACAAAGGTGTGTTTGAAACAGTTGAAATTTCAGAAGCCAGAGAAGTGTCTGAAGACATGGATTGACCCCAGTGGCTTCTCTCCCAAGACTCTTAGAGCCAGACTTGCTGAATAAATTATGTACAAGGCAGGAAAACTCATGTCAGTATGCTAACATGGCATAATTTATCTAGAATCAAGTTTTCCTTAGTATAAGAAAACAACTCTGCTACCTAGCCTGTGTTCCTTCATGATGAGAAAGATGGGCATGAGGACTAGCAGCATGAGAAGTTTAATGGGTCACTTAAAGGAAAATTGCATGAGTATCTTTAGTGGGATGTTTCACCAGAATGTTTCTTGTCTGGCCTTCAAAACATCCTCTGCTGATGCATCCCACATTCTGTGTGCGGTTGGGTAAACCAGAATTTCTTCCTGTGATGTTGGTGTGTTACTGTGCAGTGGGCGTGGAGCCTGTCTTTCCTGTCTGTGTATTGCTTGGTCATTATGAGTATGACAGGGTGGTTCTAGCCCATGTGCCAGGTTGCTTTTGGACAAGTAGGAAATATGTAAATGCACCTAAATTCAAAGAACGGGGTGGCCGCAGATGTGTGTGGGGCGGGGGGGGGATCACTCTGTTTAAAAAGCAAATCCAGATGAAGTTCCTAGGCCTCATGCTTGTGAAGAGGTGCAGGTCAGGACTTACTCCTTAGCCAGCTCTTCAGAGAGAAAATGGGGCAGATTGCACCAAGTCAGATACGCTAGTTTGTGTTATGCATTGCAGATTTTCAGCTTTTAAGTATAGGATTTGGTGACTTACAAAACCAAGAGTACATGTATAGCCTCTGTTTATCCCCTTTGTTTCTTCCTCTTGCAAAAACAAAAACAAAACAAAAAAAAATCCAAGGCTATTTAGAGGCTCCTCCTCCTCTCCCTTTTATCTTCATAAAAACCCTGTGAGGTAGGTCAGCTGGGAGTGAGGGACTGGCCCAAGGTCACCCTGTGAGCTCTCACATGTTGCTATGTGGGATCAGAGTAAGAACCAGTCTGGCCCAGCACGGAGACCATTTTGCCGGTTGTTTATTTCGTTATTATGCTCCTACCCGCACTTTCTCCCACGGGGACCTCAAGGCAGCTGGACAGTTCCCAGGGCGTCTCCCTTCCAAGCTCGGCCAGCCCCGGCATGGCCTGGCTTCACCGGGGATGCCCGGATGCCTCCGGCCATGCTCCGGCTTACAGCGCAGTGGCAAGAGGGGGCGGGAAGGGCCCCCGTCGGCTGACCCCTTGTCGCCTCTCTCCACAGCCCCCTGGTGCCAACATGGAGGGCGGTGTGGACGGGCCCATTGGGATCCCCTTCCCTGACCACAGCAGCGACATCCTGAGCAGCTTGAACGAGCAGCGGAACCACGGGCTGCTCTGCGACGTGGTGATCCTGGTGGACGGGCAGGAGTTCCCCACCCACCGCTCCGTCTTGGCCGCCTGCAGCCAGTACTTCAAGAAACTCTTCACCTCCGGGCTGGTGGTCGACCAGCAGAACGTGTACGAAATAGACTTTGTGAGCGCCGAAGCCCTGGCGGCCCTGCTGGAGTTCGCCTACACCGCCACTCTGACCGTCAGCACTTCAAGCGTTGGCGAGATCCTCAACGCCGCCAGGCTGCTGGAGATCCAGGCGGTGAGGGACGTTTGCACGGATCTCCTGGACCGGAAGATTCTGGCCAAACACGACCAGATGGATACAGTAGATCAAATTGATCAAAGGAACCATCTCCGAGCAAAAGAATACCTGGAGTTCTTCCAGAGTAACCCCATCAACGGCCCGCCGGGCACCATTCCATGGACCAACCAAGAGTTGCGGGACCTGCAGAGGCTCGGCTTCCACAGCCAGGAAGACGAGGGCGAGGCGGAGTGCAACGGCATGGACTTCTACTCCGCGCAGGCCGCCCTCGGCGACAGACCAAAGTCGAAGGACGGCGACCTTGAGAGCAACCACGCCATGTGGCTGGACCCGGAGGAGGAGGAGGCGGCCCAGGGCGGCCTGTTCCCCCCTCCCCAGAATGGACAATTTGGCGTCCGCCACCTGCAGGCAGCAGCGGGGGAGGAGGAGGGATCGGCTCAGCTGGACCACCAGGAGGCCAGGGACTCCCCCGCCTTTGGCCCCGGGGTAGGGGAGGGCGAGGAGGTGGATGGCCGCGAAGTGGACACCCTGGCCGCCAGCGCCCTCCTGCAGCAAATGATCAATTCCGTGGGGCGCCAGCCACTGGCCGACGAGGACCGCAAGGAGAGCGACGGGGTCATGGATTATTACTTGAAATATTTTAGCACTTCCCAAGAGGGCGGCGACTTTCCGTCCTGGTCCCAGAAAGTGGAGAAGAAGATCCGAGCGAAAGCATTCCAGAAGTGCCCCATCTGCGAGAAGGTGATCCAAGGGGCCGGCAAGCTTCCACGCCACATTCGGACCCACACGGGCGAGAAGCCCTACGAATGTAACATTTGCAAAGTTCGGTTTACGAGGTAAGCAGGCAGAATGGGGTGGGGGAGAGGAGGTAGGGGGACAGAGCGGGAGTGCCCCAAGCTGTGGTACCTGGTACTGAGTTTCGGCTTCCTCAGGATCCCAGCCTGCAGCTCTGGGATTCTGGGTTGAGTTTTTGCAGCTGCACTGGGGATGCCACCAGTGGTTGACCCATGGCTTCCTGCATGCAAAGCAGGGGCTCTGCTCACCCTGATGCAGCCCAGATCGTGGTGCTCCTTGCCAAACATTCTCCCACACCTTCTGGAGCTTTGTGACCCCCTCTCAGGAAGGGCTTGTGAGGGTTTCTCCATCCTGCTAACCAACTAGTCTCTGTGCCACCCCAACTGTTACCTGGAAATGGCTGTCAGTTTTTTCTTTATGCTTTTCTACTATTCTTCTCTTTTGGAGAAGCCTCCATTCTTTGCAGCTTTAACCCCAGTATATATTTGGCAGCAATGTGAAGCGTAGTGAAATGCATGCTTGTTGAACGGCTTTGTCTCTTTCAGGGCCCTTCTCTCTCAAGAAGAAAAATGTGCAGAAGTCTTTGTGGCAGTGCTGGTACTGCCCAGCTGCTACTTGTGTCCAGGGCACCCATTCCTGCATCATATCATAGAACATTGAAAAATACACTTTTTTCTTTTTCTTTTTTTTTTGATGGTGAATTTCACCAAAACAAAATGTAATGAATGAACCCAACAGCCAAGGAAAGACAGAGAAGCAAGAAACAAAACACTCATTACCAAAGCTGCTGTTGATATTATGTGCTGCTAAGTCACTTCCATTGAGCCCCCAGGCAGCCTTGCCCAGGTTTTGTGGACCCAAGCTTGACTTCCTTCGTGGAGTCCATCCACCTCCGAGCTGGTCCGCCTCCTCTTCTTCTGCCTTTCACTTTCCCAGCATGATTGTCTTCTTCAGGGAGTCTTCCCTGTTAACAAATGTTGCCATGTTAATGTCCAAATAGCAGCTTAATTTAAATGTATTCATTACACATGCACTTCACTAAAAGCAGGCCAAATAGCCATATATGCATCTATTCAAGAGTAGCATCTCATACATCAACAGTTTAATTAAATCTTCAATTCATTTAATTATAGGACATGAGTTTTTATCTTTCCAGAACTGTAGTAGTGGAAAATCAATTTACCTTGATCAAGTGTGGACTCCCAAGATACAAACAGATAGTTTAAAAGTATGTGTACATCAGAAAATATCAAAGAACGTTTTCATACAACTTTTATCCATATTATAACTTTCACCCAAAAAGAGGCAACTTTCCATCATAATCTTTTGGAAAAAATACAGTAGTAACCTTTTTGATTCCAATAATAGGCACAAGCAGGATTGATTTAATTTTGAGCCAGGGAGAGCACAGGTGAGCAAGAAACTTGCCAGGAGGGGTCCAGAACATCCCTGTCTCCTGCCTCAGGAGCAGTGTGGGGAGAGCTTGCCAAAGGGCAGGTCCTGCCAGGAAGGAGGGCACATTCACTGCAGAAGCTTCATTGAGTGGTGGGCAAGACCACCCCGGACAGTCCTCAGGGCTTGTTATGGGAGATGCCTTGCTCCCAGGTTGGTTAGGGCTTTGCTTAACAGCAACAGGACCCAAAGGCACTTCCATAGTATGTGGGTAGCCAGTGCTGTTCCTGGCTCATGTTTTGTGAGCTTAGCTGGGTGTCTCTTATGCTGCTATTTATACCAACATTCAGAATCATGAGGACTAGAAATGTAGCTTGTTCTTGCATGGGAAGCAAGGCTGGGGAGAGAACCCTTGCTCGGCAGGAGAGCCCCTGCTTTTTCTGCAAAAGGCCCAGATTCGATTCCAAGCAGCTGCAGGCTGGAAGGGGACAGCCAGGAGTGAGTGGAAGCAACAGGGTGGAATGCCGACCGGCAGCCGACCCTTCAGGGCAATGCTGAGCATGGATCCTGGTTCTGCCAGGCTTTCTGCAAGGCTCAGGAGCCGAGTTCAGCTGGAAGAGAGGCTGCCTCCCAGACTGCACAATGCAGCTTCCCTGCAAATCCTGGAGCCTGGCCCCAGGGAGGTAACACGGGGGCATTTCCACCCACTTGTCTGGTGTGAGCTCCAGGAGGAGAGAACAGAGAGGAGGAGGGCAGGCCAGGTGGGCAGCACCAAACTGGTGGCTGAACTCACACAGAACAGCTGAGCAAGAGTGCCGGGTCTCATTCTACTAGGGAAGGGAGAGGGTGTGATTTCTGGGGCTGCGCACGGTGTCTTAAAAGAAGGCCGCATTCCCCTTGGGGCCAGCAGCCCCTCGTGACACTGGAGTGCACACGGGTGTGCCCCCCACCTGTCCTTCTTCGGGCCATCCTCCTCTACCCTCTCCGTCCCAGAACGAGGCCCCTCAGCATACTCCCCTTTGTGCAAGGATGGAATGGCTGCAGAGCTGGGTGTGGGGTGCCCAGGTCTGTCAGACACAAATCTGCATATGCCAATTTATTTACTTAATTATTTAAAGCTTTCCTACCCTATCAGTCCCAAAGGTTTCACTGATCTCTATAACTGCACAACAGTTTTGCAGAAGCCAAAGCCAGTTCATTTCCCATCCAAATCACCCGCAAAGAAAATCTTTTTCCCTTCTGTTAATTATCCCAACCCAGGTCATTCCAAACAGGTGTTCTTTCATTCCAATCAAATTGCAGCCTCTTGGCCTCCCCTTCCCCCATTTCTCTTGCACCCCCCTTCTGAGAATAAGCTCCCTCAGCCCAAGCAATTAAGCTTAGAGGACAAGTTTCCAAGCTCGTCTGTTTCTACGGTTCATGGCTCAGTGGGGGCATTTGTTGTGGGAAGGCTCCAGCATGTAGGGAGGGGTCAACCTTTCCTTCCTTAGCTGACATCAGCCGTGAAAAATGGTTGCCTGTGTGGAGAGTGAACTGAGATGGACACCCTGCAGCAGCTCCTGGGAGCGGGCTCAGGACCTGCTGCAAACCCCTGCCCAGTGGAGCCAGGAGGAGGAGGAGAGGGGGTGGTTTGTGGGGTGGGCAGAAGCGAGAGAAGGGCCTTCACTGACCCCAAAGGGAACTCCAGTCCACCTCCCCCCCTCCAGCTACTTTGGAATTCAAACCACAGCTGGGGAAAGGGTTAAGGGTGTGTAAATATCCACTTTTTTTTTTTGACAAATCATGTCTTTGTGGGAGACAATTGAGGGTGGCTTGCCTGTGCAGCCCCCAGACTCCTCCACTGGCCACCCCCCCGCCGTCCTTTGAAAGCACGTGTGCCGCCAGAGCTGCTGCTGCAACTTAGTTTAGTGTCCAGAGGCCTTGCCCTGCATGTGGAGGGCCCCAGCCCCTTGCAAGGCTTGTAAGAAGTTCTGTCCCGAACCCTGGAAAGCTGCGGGCTCTGGTGGGTTTGTATTTGCATCTCAGGACTGTGGGGACTGGAACTGTTTGCTTTTAAGGCAAGGGTCATAGTTGAGCTGTAGGGCCGAGCCATGATTGTGGAAGGGCCCAGCTTTGATCCCAGCATCCCCAGGAACAATCCCTCTCAGAAACTCTGCAGAATTCCTCTGCTGTGTGGTGTCTGCAATCCTGGGCCAGCCTGGGGGAAGGCAGCATCCTGTGTTCCCTAGATAGGCTGCTCCATCCCTTTCCAGCCTGCTGCTTTCCAGATGGACTGAATTATGGGCTTCGCTACCCCCTGCCATTCTCAGCACATCTGGGAAGCACCAGGTCGGGGAAGGTTGCTTGGCTCTCTCCCACCATCCAAGTCTCCTTTTCCTTCTGTTATTTTGTTGAGGTGACCCCTTTAGGGTCTTTTTTTAAAAAATCCTTTTGTTGTTCTGAAAGCTTCTCAACTTGCATGTAGTGTCCTGCCCTTGTTTTTTGTTTTGTTTTGTTTTTTTGGTAGCCCCATTTTGATTAGAAACCTCCTGGCACTGAACCCCCTTGTTCCAGCATCAGAAGCAACACTGATGCTGGGGAGGGAGACAGCCAGGCAGGCAAAGGGGAGCCGTTCCCAGAATAGCTGGTTTGATTTCTGCATTGCCCGTTAGCCTGATGCTCTCTGGGTCACTTAAATGGCCCAGCCAGATGTGCTCCAACAGAACCATTGGGTGGGTGAAATGCAGTAAAATCCACCCATTTAAAGGAACCTGGGGTGGGAGGCAGGAGCACCAGAGAATGCACCGGTGCAGTTCTTAAGACGGAAGGGCTGGAGAGCCTGGCAAAAGCGGCTGCAGCATCGTTAACTGCACCAGGTGAAGCGAGCGCCTCTGGGCTGCTGGATGGTGTCATGTGGCCCCAGTGACTGACTGATCTTCCCTTCCCCCACAGGCAGGACAAGCTGAAGGTGCACATGAGGAAGCATACTGGTGAGAAGCCCTACCTGTGCCAGCAATGTGGGGCGGCCTTCGCCCACAACTACGACCTGAAGAACCACATGCGTGTCCACACGGGCCTCCGTCCCTACCAGTGCGAAAGCTGCTTCAAGACTTTCGTGCGATCTGACCACTTGCACCGGCACCTTAAGAAAGACGGCTGCAACGGGATCCCTTCCAGGCGGGGGCGCAAGCCCCGGGTGAGAGAGGTGGCCATCGCGCCTGCCCCAGCCGCTCAGCCAGACGATGCAAGCCTGGCGGGCGGCGAAGAGGCCCCGGACGCTCCCGAGGCCGCCACCCTGCAGGACGGGCTGGACAAGCACTTTGAGGAGAGCACTAGCGCGGACGCGGCGCCAGGAAGTCTGAATGTAGCGGGGGGTTCGTCTGAGGGCAAAACGCAAGAACTCTCCTAAACCAAAAAAGAAAACAGGTGTCACAAAATCTAGTTATAACTTTCCTCCAGTTCCTTTGGAAAAATATGGTTTCCTCACCCTTTTTTGAGAAAACAAACTAATAATTAGCCTTATAGGTCTATAATATATCTCTGTTTTTTGCTCGTCCCCGTAATAGCCAGTTTATTGTAACCTCTTGTAGCCATGGGTTAATTTTCAGGTTCCCCCCTAACCTTGAAAACAGATGAGAAAGTGATCGATTTTGAGGTGAGGCTGAGAGGGAGAAGATGCCGCTAAAGTGTGAAATGAAGCTTCCAAGTGTTCAGTTTGTTAAGTTTTATAACTATATACACACACACACATTTTGGAGAGTGTAGTCTATTTTAGCAAAGCAGACTGTTCCAGAAGGACAGAGCCAGGAAGGGCAGCTTCTTGGCACGCTTAGGAAAGTAAGGAAGTTTGGGGAAAGATTTTACTCCTTTTGTCTCAGACGCCCACCACAAGCCTGAAGTATTCACTGCATTTTCCAAGAAAGTCCGTCCCCTTCCTCAGTTCTAATTAAATGGTAAGGGTGCTCGAAAATCATTTCCAGCATCTTGTTAAAAATGCCTGTCACCCAGCCCCTCAGAAGGTCCCCAGGTGGCCCGCTAGCCACCTGTTATCCAAACTATTCGGGGTGCAGACTTGCCAGATAAGTCACAGAGCAGTGGGCATATGTGGGTTCAGACTGTGGAGATGGGAAAGGAAGCACCCTTACATGTGGGGCATCCTCCCGATGTTTTCAGCCAGCTTCTCCAGGTCTTGGCCAGCGTGGCCCATGCTTGGGGTTATGGGGTCGCTGTCCAAAACATCTGGAGGACACCATTTGCCTGCCCCTGTCTAGGAATTCAGAGCCCCTGTGGTGGCCTTGGGAAGTGCTCTAGACTGGAAGCTTTGAGCATGTAGCAGTCCCTCCGTGCCTTCTTGCTGCAGCTCCAGAGTTGCAAACGCGACTTTGAAGCTGGTGGGGGCAATCTGGGGGCACAGCTTTGCCAGGGAATATTGGCAGTGCCTCCCCCTCCATGCAGGGGTAAAAGACATGAGCAGCCCAACTCTGCCATCCAAGTGGTTTGTGGGGTTAGGGGAGCCCAAAAATCCCACATCCAAAGGCCTCTGGGCTGCCACACTGGATGGTACCGCTAGAAGGTCAAGCCATTTCCTTCAAAGTTAGTCCTACAAAACCAGTCTCTGTGCAAGAGGATGCTCTCCGGCCCACCCCCCACCCCCACAACTCACAGCACGTGTTTCATGGCCTCCAAAACTGCTTTGAAACCATTTGCCTGAAGTAGCTTCCTTCGGGTGACACAGGTCACAGGGCTGGTTCGAGGACTCACTCTGGAGACCTGCTGCTTGGTGGATGAATTTCACCTCCTTCCTGTCCTGAGGTAGCCTAGGGGCTATCAAATGCAGCCAAACTCAGGGAGCTGCCATGCAAAACTGTTCAGATTAAACCATTTTTGGGGCTGCCCTAAAAGAGGATGGTTTGGTTCCAGCCAATTGAAGGGCGTCTTCTTCCATGCAGAGAACTCAAAAGGAATTTGTTTTGGAGAAAGTACATGTCTAGGTGGGTAGAAAAGTCCCAGCCTTAAAGAAATTACCTAAGCCGTTAGGGTATGTCTGCCCTCCTGAGAAGGGAGCTTGCAAATTGCCGTAAAGTCTTCCCGGCCCGCGCTGGCTTTCGTGAAGGCTGAGTTTGGCTCAGAGCTCTCCAGGACGCTCGCTCCGCACTGTGCAGCCTTGTGGAATGGAGCCCCCAAGAGGAAACTTCCAAAGGGTGAGCTGTCCCCGTTGGGCTGCAGTCCCTCCTCTGGGGTGGGGGATTTGACTCTCGGGAGCACTTCAGGCTTCACCCCAGATGGGAGCATCTGCGGAAGGCTTATCCTCAGATGGTCAAACAGCATCTGGGTGGGATGAGCTGGGAAAGCAAAAAGGCGGTAGCAGTGAGCAACCCCAACCAGCCTCCGTGGCCCTTCCCTTCTCCCTCTCCCTGGCCCCAGTGTCCCATGAGTTGGTCCTAGCTTAGCCTTCCAGAGCAAAGGTGGGTGTTTTTTCAAAGAGTGCCCCAAATTCTTAAGGCGTCGTTGCCTCCATGGAAGGGTGTGGGCTTGGCGCATGGAGAGCTTTGTGATCCACATTCTCTCCTGTGGCAGCCCAGAGAGCCACCCCCACCCCCCACATGGAAGTAGCAATCCAGAGAAAGCAACTGTTAGCCAAGGTTATCGGAAGAGCCCAGTCCCCTCCTGAGCTTAAAAAAAAAATAATAAAAGGACACCTTTTAGCCATTTCAGGATTTTATAAATGCACATTTTAAAAATGATAAAAAGAGAGAAAGATTTAGTAGTTGTTGTTTTGCAAGCACTTTTAAATTTTTTTTAATTTAAATATTAAAAAAGGCAAACTGGCTGAATGCAATTGAGCAGGGAGTGTGTGTGTTTTGTGAGGGAGCGAAAATGATGGGGGTTGGGTGGGAAGAGATGGATGCTTTATTTAATGCAGAAAAAAGCAATAAAAAACCACAAAAAATAAGATTAGAAACAAAGAAGTCTTAGCACTTTGAAATGGAACGGGTACTTTGAAATCACTTTATCTTAATTTAAAAGATATATATATATATATATATATATATATATTAAAAAAAGAAAGAACCGAATATGTTTACACGTTGAAACCATCTTTTACGGAAAGAAATTTATTGTTGCTTTATTGTTTTTATTAAAATAATTCCTAAAATTGAATTTATTTTTGTAAGAGAAAAAAAACACAAATATGTATATAGATATCTATATATTTGAGAGAAAGAGAGGAAAAAAACCTTAAATGGAACCCTCCATTTTGGTTTGCAGATTACTTCAGAAACAAACAAAACAGACAAAAACACAGGGAGGATCGGAGCTAATTAGATTCTGTGACACAGCAAAATTTAGAAAGAAAAAAAACACCCTCGGAAGTGATTTGCACTTCAGAAAACATAAAATATAAAAAAAGGAAGCTTGAATTTTTAAGCAGGAATCATGGGGTTATTTTGTGTATGGTTTATTTCCCCCCAGTTCTGTTATTGTTTTTCTTGGTTCTTGTTTTTCCATGTGTTAGACAAACAGTGCAGGCCTGCGTGTTTCCCACCCTCCAGACACACCTTCAGTCCCGGGACCACCTCCATCACAGACCGCCTCACACCTTGGGTCTCCATCACCTCCCACCCCAGGGGTGGTGCAACTCCACTTCCACCCAAGACTCAAACCTGAAATGTAAAACGGGCTTTGAGGCATGGCTTGCATCTGGTTTCGCTTTTGGGCACCTTCCATTGCCGGTTCCGTTTCTTGTTTTTAAGCCGACTGGACGCTTCTTGCATTTCCAGCTCGTGTTGGAGACATTTTCTCCCCTCCAGCTTTTCTCCTGACCCTCCGATTCTTTATTGCGCAATAATGATGATTTTCAAAGCCAGAAACAAGAAGTCTCTGTGGCAGTTTCCCTGTGGCCAGGAGGAACCCTGGGGCAACAATTGCTTACCCCGCTGCACGCATTTTAAAGCTGTGCTTCTAGCTAAAAAGAAAAAAAAAAAAGAGGACTTTTTCTGAAAGGAATCAGTGAATTTGGTTGACAGAATTGCTCATCTTCCCAGCCCCTTTTTGACCTTCCTGCCTTCATCAGCATAGAGAGCTGAAGGAGGTCCCGGACACTTAGAAGGATGTGGAACGCCCCCCCCCCCTCGGCTTAGCACTGACTTAAGCAATTGCATATGCAAAAACTAGTGTGGACTTTGTACATAGATAGTTAAATGAGATTCTTTATTGTAACCAAAAGTTGTGGTATCTCTTCCAGTTTGTTTAATGCCTCTGCCTCCACAACTGTTCATGTTTTGTGTGCATCTCTCTCTCTCAATCTCTCTCCCCCCTCCCTTCCCCCTTCCCTCCCCTTCCCCTTTCTCTCAAAGCCACCTAGCAGCCCTTTAAAAAGACAGGAAGATTCTCTTGCAGGCCTGCTGCCTTCGCAGTGAGCCATGGTGCAAAATTGAGCTTATTTTCATCTTTCGTTCTTCAGCGTTAGGGGGTTGTCTTCTTATTGTGTGAGCAAGAGCAAGTCCGAACACTGCAAACTTGGTAAGAAATCACAGCGGACTACATCCAGCCCGTCTGTGCTCTCCTTTGCCTCCCCTGCCCATAGCTACGCAATCCACCTGTCCTCCCAGAGGGAGCTGGTCCTCTCACCAAGCAGCCGCACGAGACAGAGTGGGAGTAGAGGACTGTGTCTGTGGGAGGGTGCAAACCAGTTTGGCCATTGTTGGATCTTCTTGTGGGCCCCAAAGGGGTTCCCATCCAGGGTGATTTGCTGACTCTCAGCCACCAGTCGAGGCTGCCCTGAATCGAGGCCCTCCACTGTGTCAGTAGGACAAACCGCAGCCCACCTGGCCACAAGCCCCTGTGCCCACTCACCTTCCTATCCCTCCCTGTTTCCCCTCTTGAGCATTTCTCTGTATCGTGTCAGTCCCTGCAGGGCTTTCTGGCTGATCCAGGGCGCCTGCACACACCACACCTGTCCTACGGAGCTTTAAGCTGGTTTTGCATCATCCAAGGGAATCCCAGGAAATGCAAAGAGCCCCCCAGGAAAGGCGGAAAGGGGCACTCACAAGGGTGAGCGCTGGGCACCGTTCCCGAACTATGGTTCCCGACAACCCTGGGGAAGCCATAAGTGGTACAAAACCAACCTAAATTCTAAGGCAACTTTGACCCAGCCCCTCTCCCCCACCTTCTGTTTCTGGTCAGAGATACCGCATCTTGTCTGTAATATTCCCCCCATTGGAGGGTTGAGGGTGGGGACTGGCATCCAGTGCGTGATTCTTGGAGCGGGGCTAAAGCTCCGAGCATCTGTGTGTGGGCAACACTTTAACACAAGCCTTTGATGCGTTTGCACTAAAACAAAAGTGAGCAAAAATGGTGTACCTTCTCCGTGTAGAGAGGCCGTCACGTCACGAGACATTTTGCCTTAACCTTCTTAATCCCCCTTTGTACAAGTGATGAACGAAAGACGAAATCTCTCGCATGCGGGGGTTCCCTTCCTCAAATCACATACTGTATATAAGGATTTTGATTTTATTTTTTAAATTATTATTTTATTTTGTATAAAAATAAAATAATATGCAGGTTGTGATAAAGTGTTGCCAAAGAAACTGTTGATTTTTACCACATTTCAGGAAGAAAAAGAAGAAAAAAAAGCTTCTAAATGATGTTGTCGCAGCAAGAACAATAGAAACAAATGTATTTCCCTTACTGACTTTAAAAAAGGACACAAAAGTTTGATCCCCAAAACGGTCAGCAGTGTAATTTCAGTCAATGGTTGAAGCTGTTCTTGTCCGGGTCTGTGTGTCTTCTACGTCGGTTTCTCTTGCACCTTTTTTTTGAGCGGGGGGTTTGAGGGGTTGCTTTTTCCACCATCCTTGTGCCATTGGAGATTCAAGAAATGTTGCAGGTGAGAGACATCCCTTGGAGGCTGGACTGGGGGTTACAAATGGAGTGAGAGGGATTTTATTGGAAAATAAGCTGAGTTGTACCAGAAACTGTTTGGCCCTCAGTGCTCAGCAAGGTTTGATCTAAAAATCAAAAGGCGCTACGTGGGACGGAGGAGATGGGCAACATTTCCCATTACCTGGTTGAGCCCCTGACCTAGAAGGACACACAAACTCTCTCGTTACCTTTGATCCTGTGACTGACCTTTCTGTTTGCACCTTTTCCCAAAAGCAGCTTCCTCTGAGGGGCCTTCTGCCATTGCAGAAAGGGGTTTGAGGTTTAGGGAGGCAGTTGCGGGCAGGCAAGGCGGCGTGGCACCGAAGACGGCTGGAAGCTGCACAGTGCCATGCGTGTCCGCACAGCACAGGTGCCCTGCGCTCTGCTCTTGCTTGTCTCCGAGTCGGCGTATGGCTTCCTGGCTGACTCTTTGTTTGCAGGGTCCCCATGGCAAGGCATGGGGGCGGCTGCTGGCAAGGGCATCTTCTCATATCCAAGGGCGAAGGGTGGACCGCAGGTTTTTGTTGTGACAGTGGAGTGTACGCTATGCTTCCTGCTCCAACGATGGCCTCCTTCCACGCATGCGGACATGTGGTTTTAGTGGGCCAGGCCCACCCGATCGCTGTCTCCCCCACTGCCCCCCAGTGTTGGATCATCAGAGACCCTTGAATTCCACGGAACTTGGATCTTCCACATTCCCTCTTTCCAAGAGAGCCAACACTGGCGGGAATTCTTGATCTAAAGGTAGAAGATGAGAAAGGGGCCAGGTTGTCATCCAGAGTTTGTTCCTGTGCATTACAAGCAGATTCTCAAACCGAGCCGTGTGGCTGGCCAGTTCCTCTGACCCACTGCTTGGCTGCGCCTTGAAGCTTTAGAAGAGAGGCCTTGCTCTGGACTGCGCTTGCACCGGTACCACTTTATCCACAACCCAAGCCCACGAAAAAGCCTTAAGCATAAGAAGACGGCGACACTGCTTTTTCAGGATATTACGGACTTTCCTTCTTTGCACTAATGCTGACCCATTGGATTGGGGAGAATCTCTTGCACTTTTTTTTAGAATGAGCTGGAGGCGCTTTGCCTGGGCAAAATAAAGACAGGGAAGGTTGCAAGCCGCACGCGGATGTATAGAAAGGGATCTTTCTCTGCTCAAAGGGGCTTCCTTCGTTCCTTCTCTTTTTAAACTCCCCTTTGGAACTGATTCTCTTTGTTCTCCCTTTGCTCTCCACTCAAGTTGGCTGGGGCAAAATCCATGGTAGGTTTTTCACCACTGGAGGGGACAGGTCTTTCTGATCTAGGCTTTGTTTGAGCTTTCATCCCACCTTTCGTGCAACTTCCTGACATCATCCAGAAAAGCATGGTGCAATTCTTCAGCGTCTGCAGAATTCTGTCCTGTCACATGTAATGCAAGCCATTGTTAATTCGATTCTCTTGATGCACCCAAAGTTTTAAAGTTTTTTCTGGTCACCCATGTCCACCTCTCCAACTCAAGCAGTCTAACTCTGCTATTTAAAATTTTACTATAGAGATCTATTTATATTTTCAGCAAATGTCAGAATTTTTATTTAAGTTAAGAGGAACACTTACTGTGTTGTTTAGCAGGGATGGAATGTTTTGTTTATATATATATATATATATGTATGTATGTGTGTGTGTGTGTGTGTGTGTGTGTATATATATATATATGAATGAATGAACATTCTGTTAGTTGTCCATTTGAGATTCGTTCCTTAGATTTTTAAAGTATCCCTTTTGTCTTATGGAGAATGTTAACACAATGCTTTACTGAAGCTTTGTTTTCTGAAAAGAATATATATATATGGTATATGAAAATATAGATGTACAAAGAGGGTTTAAAATTTATTCTGGGAGTGGGTCTTGCAAACTCTCTTGTCCCCTCGATCAGAAACCAATTTTTTTCTGATACAAGGAAGATAAAGGAGAAATTATGTCAGATGGGACACTTTTCCTACATCATATTATCCATACTTGATATTGTTAATTGTTCTATAAAGAGAATAATCTATCCAGAACACTCTAAAAATTCATCTTAAAAAAAAGACAACACAAAAACAAACCTTAAATGACTAATTTACTGTTGTTACGTGTGGTGAGCAAAAGCACAGAAAAGACATTCCATAGATTGTATGTTTGATAATTCTTTATTTAGGGGTTTTAAAAAAAGAGAGGTTTGGGAGACAAGTACAGAATATAAAATATAAAAATATATAATATAAAATGCACTTTTGCGGGGAGGGGCTTAAAAATAAAATAAACATATATATAATTTGAATGATGAAACTGCTCCTTCATTCTTGTATATAAGACCCACTTTTAAAAAGTAACTTGATTGTCATAATGTTGATAGCATATTTTTCTCATTTTAGTATAGTTTAGTTGTTCTCTTAAAGCTCAAAGAATTGGATGTTCTGAGCTGCTTTGGGGATGAACCCCCATAGATGAGACTGCCCAGTGGGGAAGTTGAACAGTTTTCTTCCAAGCCTTCATGTCAGTTCACGAATCACTTTTGCAAGGCTGCACCTTGCGAGAGTCCTTTAGAAAGCAGCACTCTGCACTCCTTGGAGGTGGGCAGCTGGTCATGTGCCCTCCAGTGGATCTGGACCAAAGTCTGTAGATGTGGCAAAAGTTGACCATTTCCCTTTGCATAGGTCAACTTTTCGCACTGATCCCCATGAGGCATCCTCTGGAAAGAAAGCTGACCAGATCCAGCTAAAATCTGTGCAGAAAAGTGCTTTGGGTAAGACCTGAGCAAACTGATTTCAAAAGAAATCACACAGTAGATGCCTTCCAGGTGTCCAAAGTGTATTTCTGAGGATTCTGGAGGGGCGGCAAGGCAAGCGGATGCTCAGCCGGTCCAAGATCAGATCTGTGTACTCTGGGTTTGGGTTGGTACACCAACACAACTGGCAGCAAGAGTTGGGTGATCCTAACAGAACTGCAGCACATGAATGCGTTTAGAAGTAAGGGTTTAAAACAAGACATGACTTTCAGCTCATTTCTAAATTAGGTACTTGAAGACTGGCTGCATCTGTCATTCCAAGAACACAGCCAGGCTAGGATCACAGGAAGGAATCCTCATTCAGTTTTCCTGCCAAAAATCGCTCCCTTCCCAAAGCCATTTGCCCCAATTTTTAAAATCATTCATTACTTTGAAAATGAAATTACAAATGCCTTATTCATTCTAAGCTGAGGTGACGTGTCGGGGGGGGGGTGTGTGACATGATTTCCCCCCCCCTGTGGTTGCTTTTACAAAAGGAAGACCGATAGCCAGCCCTCACCATTTTCTTACTTAAGTGTGCATTTAAAGCTGCTTCTGGATTGACTCTCAGTTCCATTGGCCTCCCTGTTTTGTTTTATTAATTTGAAAACAGACAGGTTTCTGGGACATGGACCTGTTGCAAACCTTTTGCAGCCAAAATCCTAGTTCTTGTGACTGGGAGGACACCATGTCATGTCAGACCTGTGGCTAAGGTTGTGTGGTCAGGCCTTGGGCTTCTGGTGGCAGCAAGGCATGGGGTCTCCTCCTAAGGCAGAGCAGTGAGAAATGCCCACTGCACCTGCAGGCCAGTGCACCCTTGCATGCGAGTAAGTCCCCTCCAGTTCAGCAGGACGTCACTGCTGTGCAGATGTGCATAGGCCTGGGTTGCCCACCGTGGCCTCCGCCCTATTTGCTGTGCTCCCTTGCTGGCAGCCTTGCTCAACAACGCCTGTTGCAGTCCCACACGTGGGACTCCAGACCCCATCACCACGATTCTCCTTTTCTGGAGTGCTCTGAAGAGCAGCTCTCCAGCGCTTTCAGCATGGACAATGCCGGCATGCAGGTTTGAGGGAAGAGAGTAAGAATGCAGCACCCGTTGCTTCACTCAGCTCACAGTCATAGGGTGGTCTTTCCCTCCTTGGCCCAGTCCACGCCATCCACAATTACACCACCTCTTCCAATTCATCCTCAGTTACCCAAGTCTCTGGAACAGAATTGTGCTGGAGGAGGAAGCTTTGATTTTGGCCTGGCTCCTAGCCAGACCGTGAGTCATTGACTAGCCCTCTGCTGTCCTCCTCCTCCTCTGGGAAAATAACTTCCTAACCTGGAAAAACTCTTGCCAAAAATCTTAGCTCCTAAGCGAGCTATTAGGTTTTCCCATGTGCCCCTGTGAGCAGCACGGGGAAGATGGAAGCCATGTTCTCCCAATTCTGGGATGCCTCGCAACTTTGCTCCAGCTTGGTCTTGCTCTGCTCAGTCAGGTTTCTTCTGGAAACGCATTGACCTTTCTTCATGGCGGTGCTATTTGTCTGCTACACTTCTTCCTACTTTTGAGCTGATTTGATTGCTTGGTGGCCGCAGCCCAATGAACCCCATGTTCTCCAGTACCATTCCAGCCCAGGGGACTCTTCAAGCGAGGCAGATACACAGCACTCCAGCCTTAGCTAGCAGTTAAGAGATGCAAGCCAAAGCGTGATCCAAAACCGTGTGCACAGAGCAGCGTTTGTGTGCTCGTGGGCTTTGTGAGGGGTGCAGATACCCTTTCCTTAAAAAGCTTTCCTGAGAAAGGATTGCAAAAAAGGTGCCTTCACATTCAGGGTTAGAGAAGGATTGATGGATTGGTGGAAGGGAGATGGGGTAGAGTAATCTTCACTCTACCAGTGGAATTCTGCAGTGGCTTTGGACTACAGTTCCCATCAGCCCTAGCCAGCATGGATAAGGCATGGTAGTTTTAGGCCAAATCATCCAGAAAAATGTGAGTGGCTGTCTCTTGAACTGTGTGGATTGACAACAATTCTGTTGAAAGTGACTTAAGCAGGGCTTCTCCCCAGTTCTCCTCAAGGGTTGGGTTCTTTCTTCTTAATGATTCCACTACCTGGACCAGCCATCCAAGCAACTTTTGCATCTCCACAGCCGTAACAATTGTCACGGCTTCTTTTCTGCCACTCTGACGGATTCACAGGAAACCAGTTGCAGAGCAAAGCTTGGGAGCTGGGGGCACCGTGTTCGTTCTCCAAAGTTAGACTTGCCCCAAAATCAGTTCCGTGCAGGTTTGTCCTGCATCTTGATTCTTTCGCCAAACGGCCGCTCTCGGGGGAGTTCTTTGCTCACAAGTGGGGCAATTTGGCAAGCTTGAAACTGGTGTGAAAAGTTATCCCTACCCCCACACCTCCAGGCTGGCCTTCTTGGAGAATGCTACAGGTGTCCCCAAAATGTTGCTGTTCCAGAGGGAAAATGACGCCTTAGCTGCACCCCTTTTTTCTGCCCAAAGACCCCCCCTTCCAATAATCCAGCACCAATAACTTATACAGCAAATATCTAAGAGCTTTTTGTTTTTAGTGTTTGCAAACTTGGCCATTCCTTTCAGGGGTACGTGAAGGTTTTCTCATCCAAGATTTCTCCTTTCCCCTGAAAAAGTTTTTTAAAAATTAAAAAACGCAAAGACGCATTCGGAGAAGATGGCTATCTTGCTGTGCTCTGTCATCTCCTTTTTCTGCAAACATTTATGTTGGAACAGTTTCCTCTCTTGGCCCCACAATACACATTTCACTGCAATTATTTTATAAGGTTGTCCCTTCAATCTTCCCATATGGGGTGATGAGTCCTCTAAAGCCAAGAACTTGGGCAGGTATTTTTTTACTGCCTCTGCTGGGAAATGTGGACATCTTTCTTAAGAGTTTCTTCTTCCTCCCTTTTCCCCCTAAATCAGCAACAGGTATTTCCTGACAGCTCTTTGAAAACATCCCCCCACCCCGCTTTGACAGATGTAGATCCAGGAAGAAATGAGGAGCTGAGAGGCTTTAGGGTTCTCATGCCGATTTTTCTAAATTTGGGGGAGGGGGACACATGTTGCGGTATACAACACTAACTTCAGGCTCAGGGTTGAGAGAAGAAAAGGCTTCTCTTTCCCTAGATATTTTGCATCTGTTTAAGAAAAAGAGTGAAAATTCACACACAAAAGGAAAAAGAAGTTACATTTGATTTTCTTCTCTTGTTCAGGATTGGTTGTTGACTAAAATCAAATCAATTGTATGTTCCTTTTTCCATATATTGTACTGTAATAGAGAACTGTTAATTTTTTGCACTAATAGATTTCTTTTCTCTCAAATCTTGGCTTTGTCTTCATTTCCTTGTCTGGGTGCTATTTAGTTAGTTATTTTCACATTGCTTGAATTTGGTGCCCCTTATCTAACATATAGAATCATAGAAACAGAGCAAGTCAGAAGGGGTCTCCTGGACCATCTAGTCTGACCCCCGGCTATATAGGTGCAGATCCTGCCCCATGCCTATTGGTACTGCTGGTGAAATTGGAAGACATTTTGATTATTCTGTTACAGAGATGCAGCTACTGCTTTTAGAATTGTTATCATATGTTGCGTAAAGCCTTCGTGAACAATCTCTCGGCCATCTAGGCAGCTGCAAGATTGCTGGATTCCCAGATACGATATCAGAAAATTGTTCCGACCACATCATTGGGAATCTGTGTTGCAATTGGCCCTTTGCAGCCAGCCATGAGCACAAGCTTGGAGAAGCTTTGGGGGGCCCGAGGGGGAAGAGGAGGAGACTGGTAACGCTGAGATAGGACATCTCTCTGCAGCACCTCCACCTCCTGTCCCAAGGTGCCAAATTTGGGTTGTGGAAATCTGCCCTCTGAGAGTTTTGTGGAACACGGGCTCAGCAGTGACAACCTGCCCAGCACAGGGTCGAAGAAGGCCTTTGTGGCAAAACTTGAAATACCAGCAAGGCACTTGGCTTTACCCGCGAAGGCCATCTCTTACTGTTTGTTAATGCCAAGGGGTTGGGAGGGAGGCTGTAGAAGAGGAGATAAAATACAAATGTGAGTTATGGCAGGGCAGGGCAAGACAGGCAGGCCTGTGTGGTTGGATGCCCAGAACCCTCTGGGTTCAGGGAGTCATTCAGAAACCTGGCCGAGTCTCTTTCCAGAGAGGACAGGAGATTTCTGTTTCAGAACAGGCGATCTCAGGGTACGAAGGCAGGATGTGTGCCATGGAAGCAGAATGGGGAGGCACTGGGAGGGAGGTGGTGGAGCCAAAAGCAAGGCTTCACAGGGCCTGACAAGCTGAGCAGCAACACCTTTGTGAATACAAAAGCTGCTCCTAGTTGGTGGCTCCGAATTGACTCTTTGCACATCTCACTGCCTTCCTTGGCTGCAGTTGTGCTGTAGCCACATGGTGGCCCCACATGAGCCAGAAGGGTGATGGCAGCTGCAGAAAGGGCAAGGACGTCTGTGCCTATATCCCTGGACCTGCAGTTTCCAAAACCTAGGGACTGACAGTTGGTGCTCACAGCTCTCCTTGAACCCTCTGAAGCAAAGAACAAGCAATCCAACTACCCTTTCATGTCCTCAAAGGGGTCAGCTGGCCCAGCACTCAGCGGCCGCAGCCCTGGGCCAGGCTGGCACTCCCCCTCCCACTGGCTCACCAGGCCACCTCCCTCACTTGCAATGCATCCCAGCAGCACCCCATCCTGAAAGCGGCTCCGTCCTCTTCCTCTTCAGCAGCAGAAAAGGAAGGCAGGAGCCAGCTCTGTTCCTCAGCTGCCAACTCCTTTTCACACTGGTCCTCTGCTGTGGCAGAAGTCTTGCTCCTACCCAGTCATCTCTCGAGGTATCAGTGCTCTGCACCCCACTTTGGTGGGTGCCTTGCCCCACCTGCTGACGGTCTGGGGGCTTCCAGCTTTTGTGTAGTTGCTCTTGAATCCTGAAAGGTTGCAAGGCCAGCAGGAAGAACTTTTAGATAAAATAGGAAGGCTTCTCTTTTTTTGCATAAATAAAATATTTTAACTACTAAATGTTGACAGAGTATTTTAAGAATTTTTTTTTGACGTGCCAGTTTACTTCCCTTTAAAATATTTGCAAATCTTTGTTTTTTGAGAAGTCATGATGGGAATCAGGCAATCTCAGCATTAATAGGGTGTAGTGCAAAATAAGTTGTTGATTTCTTGTTTTAAAAATTACGGTAGCTGCTGGGTGAATTCAAGTTGACCTATTGCTGCGGGTACATCACACCCTGGAAGACAGCAAGGGTGACTCTTAGGAAACGAGCACCAGCCTATTGGCAAAGGGGCTGCGCTTTGCAGAGTAGCAAGCCCGGTTTGAATCTTGCCCCTTTTCATGAACTCCTGAAGGGGCTGCCTAAGCCGCACTTCCTCTCAGCCTCCACCCCTCTCCCTACCTTGCAGGGTTATCATAAGGATTCCAAAGCCCTCTGCCAGGAGTGCCTGTCGCTGTTCATGCAGAATGTCCATGCAGTTGTGTGAGCGCCTTGCACAGATAAAGCCTGTGACAGCACCGCTCCAGAAGCGTCTGAAGGTGCAGGAGCACAACTTCTACCGCCTTTGTCCCATGGAGAGTGAAGAAACGTTTAGGGGGAGGGTCCTTCTTTGGTGACAGACGGCTGTTTCCCCACTTCGGACCCCTTGCTCTGGAAGTGTACCGCACGCCCCATCTTGCTATGGGATCGGACACTGTTCTGGACTGTATTCCACCCTGGCCTTAAAGTGGCTTTGCTAGCTCTTGTCGCACTAAGCTGCGCCTCGGTGCAGGATCGGAGGCACACGGGCTGCTTCTAATCCGCCTTTTGGGCAACTTACAGCCCAAGAGGCCTGCTAATGCTGGCACTCGCAGCGGATAAAGCGCCAAGCTAGCATTGCCGCTTAGCCAGGCCCCAAGCTGTCACCCAGCAGGGACTGGCGAGCAGATGGTGATGATTTGGCAGCCCACGAAGCAGAGGGGCCTGACTGCCCCATTCGCTGGGAACATGGAGGCAGAGGGAGTGCCTGTGAAGTTCCGGGGAGAAAGGTGGAGCCTCCATGGGCAGCAGCAGTCTACTTTTGGGGAGGGAACAAGGGAGTGGCTGTCCTCTTCCTGCAGCTGCATACACACATTTCGTTGCTTGTGGGGAGAAAGAGAGAATGGCAGGTTTTGATGGACTTTGGTTCAGCAGGCCTCTTCATGCAGCCTGTAGAAACCTGTTTGCCGGGCTCACCTCGGTGGCTTTGGGGATGAATGAAATTCCTCCTGGGTGGGGGAATTTGCCCCCCTTCCTCCCACGGTGCTTCAGGAAGATTAATGGGTGAGCTTCCCAAGTGGGACCCCAATCCTTCTTAATCAGTCTTTGAAGACACAGTCATAACTCTGCAGGGCTGGTGGTCCATTGCTGAACATCTGCGAGAGGGAGGGCTGCTTCCTGGGGGAGGTGGCCATGGCCAGCGAGAGCAGAAGGCAGAGGAAGCGTTTGTTGCCCCAGACCTTCATTTGTGCCAGGATTCCCCGGAGGCCTTCTGCACCCCCATGCGCAAGTGCTGTCCAGGAACTCTGGCTGAAGTAGAGGTGGAACCTCTGCCATATTGGATGCCCCAGTATGAGAGGGCGGCATGTGCCCCCGTTCCTCCTGGAAGCTCAACCGCTTCCGACAGCCTCGCCTGTGCTCTCCCTCTGGGGCGCCTGTCCAAGCCATGCATGGGAGGTGCTGCGTTGTGGCGGTTCCACTCGTGCCTGGACGGCCCGCTCCGGAGGGCCTGCTTGGGGTGCGTGGCTTGGCCACGCGGATTCTCCCACAGGGCGTTCCTCGGGGATCGGGGTGGCCCCCACACTATTTCGCACTATTTGAGACTGCTGAGCCCGGGAGCTTTGGGTTCCGTTGGCTTCAGCATGCGGATGACAAGCAGCTGCTTCCCCTTTTCATCTCCAGCAGGTGAAGCCGCGGATGGGCCAAGCCAGTGCCCGGCTGGGACAGTGGACGGAATGAGTCAGAACCAACGGGAGCTCGGTTCAGACATAAGAGTGATGCCATTGGCAGGGGAGCGGATGGAGGGTGTCAAGACAATCTGGGTGGGCTTGCACTCCCTTTGAAGGACAGGCTTGTAACTCTAGGGTTCTCATGGGTCGTCTTTGTCCTGAGAGGCCACAGTGGCTCAGAGAACCTTCCAGCTGCTTTGGCTGGTGGCCCTGGGACCAGTCACTGATGCTTGGGTAATCTCTCAAGTAGACTACTGCAATGCACCCTGCGTGGGGCTGCCCCTGAAGACTCTTCCGTGGCTGGATTAGGAACTGGGACTAGAAGGTCCCAGCACGTAGCACCAGAACTGGCCACTCCGAACCTGAGCCCACCCAGCCACCACGAGCAATACTGGAGGGCTTCTTCTGGACACCTCTGGGGAGACTCAGCCGGCAGCCCTCTCTGGAACGCCCTCCCCACTGAGACCCACCTGGAGCTGAGGCTGTCGTCTTTTTGCCGCCAGTTAAGACTGTCCTCCCCTCATCACCTCCGAGGGTGATGCCCAGTTCTCTCGTCAGAGCCAGCATCTTATTGCAAAAGTTTCAACGCTTAAATGGTTTAGATGTTACTGTTTTACTTTTTATTTTCTTGCTCTGTGTATGTGCGTGTGGACTGCCTAGAAAGATTCAACTAGTAGGAAATATAAACTGAAAATAATAATGACATAGTAACCTATGTCTAACTTGCCTTTTTTTCCTCTCCCAAGGTGGATTACAGAAACCATCTCCTCCATTTCCTCCTCACAACAACTCAGTGAGGTAGGCTAGGCTGAGAGTCTAAAACTGGTGCAAAGACACCTGGGAGCTTCTTGCCTGAGTCTTCTGAGTACCAGCCCACACTCTGACCACTAGATAGCACTGCTGTATGGAATAGTGCCAAGCGCCATGTGAGTTGCTGGCAAACGGGATCAGGGGAACATGCATGGGGCGGTTCTCCCAGTGCCACAGAATGAGCCAAGAGTCCGGTCAACATCAAAGGACACAAGGGAAACCAGGCGGCAGGCGATCAGAACCTGGCTCAGAAAAGCCACCCTGCTGAGGCACAAGTTCATGTTCCTTACCTGGCACTTGTACACCTTTCAATGCCCCCTTAAGCTAAGTCAGGTCATTATCCTCCACCACCACATTGCAAATGGGAGGGGGCAACTGAGGCTCAGAGGGAGCAGCTTGCCTAAGGCCACCTCACAAGTTCAAGGCAGAGGTGAGATATCAACAGGTGGTTTGTTGATCCTCAGCTGGGTCTCTCAGCCACTACAGCTGGGGGCCCTGTAGCTTGCAAGATGTTGGACTGTACCACCTATCATCCCCAG